CCAAGGGGTGGAGCAAAAGACCTCCTCCCCCAGCACAGCCAAGTGCAGGCCATCTCAGACACCTGCACTCAGGCCCGTGGTCCTGATCATCCTCTATTCGGACCTGCTGGGTAAAGCCACGAGGAACCCCAGAACGGGCTCCCACAAGGAAGAGAATGTTTACTTGATACATATTAACAAGTCATCTGAACTCCAAATTATTACTGACAAACCAGACAACCTTGAAATACAAGGACCATGCAACCACCAAGTATGAATAAGTGAAATTTTTTATTGCAAATTACTGATATTGCAGAACTCAGTGTGACAAGCCAGCCATCAAAGAGTTATCCCATAACAGCAAAATCTTTATGGGAAAAGCAACTGTAAAATTCACCTTTAAAAATTGTATTAGTGGGTTTGGGGATTTAGCTCAGTGGTAGAGCGCTTGCCTAGCAAGTGCAAGGCCCTGGGTTCAGTCTTCAGCTCCGGCCAAAAAAAATTGTATTAGTATGTGTTAATTAAACAATTAATGAGTTTCATAATATATTCATTAAAATGTATCACATAGCTTCAGCCATCCTTTACCCTTCTTCTTTCCTACCTTCCTTCCACCAACCCCCTTCTCTTCTCAAATATTCCCATTTCTATTTTCTTGTCATACGCTTATCTGATGGTCTCTAGTTTCATTCATTGTCTTGAAACTGATGTAATTTCATTCATCTGTACAGTGTAATAAAACTCTATCTAGAATATAGGCAATATTTTCTGTATTCTATGCATCTATTGATGGACATCTAAGTTCATCTATTTTTATAACATAATCTTTCCTGATCCATTGGCTATTGACCCCTTTTTCTCTTTTGAGGAATATAACTTTGATCCACAATGTAGATAAAAATACAAGAAGAAAACACAAGTTTTCCCAAGTGTGAAATAGCAAATAATATTCAGAGTAAAATAAACGCTATTTAAGATCTAGGTATGGCTATAATCCCAGGCCAGAGGATCAGGAGTTCAAGATCATCCTCAGCTACATGTGAGTTTGAGGCCAGTCTTGAGCTCATGAGACACTATTTCAGGAAAACCAACCAACCAAATACCACCACCCACCCAAATTGTTTAAAGAGAATGAAAATGGGAGGATTTAAAAACAGAGTTCCTACTAAATAAATCACTTGAGGCTTTTGCTAGTCATTGCTGGTTTGATGAAGGCAAGGAGAGTGTGGAGAGCTAGCAGTGTTGGAGGTCCCCATCTCTAGATGATCAGGCTGCTCCACCAGGGAAGCCTGGAGCAGCAAGAACACTCTGGCCTAGCAGCTGGGCAAGCTCTCTTCATTGGTTCAATAGTATGCCTCAGTGGCCAGAGGTGGTGTAATCTAAAAAAGCATGTGACCTAGAGCTGATCTGTGCTGAGTTCCAGG